GAGATCTTTGAGCTTTGGTAGACATTGCCAAACAACCTTCCAAAGTGGTTGTATCAGTTTATGTTGCTACCACCACCAGATGAAACTTCTAGTTGTTTCACATCTTCAGCAAAACTCAATGTCATCTTTTTTCATTTTAATCATTCTGATCGGTTCATAGTGATTTCTCATTGTGACTTTAATTTAATCTTATCGTGAATTTGCATTCATTCCCCTGATAACTAATGTGGTCAAGCACCTTTTCATATATTAATTGTCCATTTGAGTATCTTCTTTTGTGCAATGCCTGTTGAAGTTCACACCTATTTTATTAGGTTGATAACTTTTTCCACTTGATTTGTTTTTATATTCTGCATGCAAGTTTTTTGTTGTTTTTATGAATCCAAAAAATATCTTGCCCCCATCTGTGGTCTTTCTCACTCTTTTCATGGTATCTCTTGACAAAAGGAATTCTTAATTTTAGTGTAGTTCAATTTAGGATCTTTTCCTTTATGGTTAGTGCTTTTTTGTGTCCTATTTCAGAAACCTTTGTCCCATATCCATGAAGATGTCTTCTAGTCTCCTACATTGCCTTCTAGAAGATTTATTGTTTTACCTTTCACATTTAGATGAATAACCAAAACATTTAATTTTGTGAATGGTGAAAGGTCGATGTCTAGGTTTATTTCTTTCCACATGAATAAACAAATGAGCTATGATCTTTTATTTAAAAAAACATCCTTTTCCTATTGTTCTCTAGTGCCACTTTTATAAATCCAGTGTCCAAACCTGACTGGTTTTAGTATTATGGTAATTTGGGGCTCATAGATAAGTTGTATAGAATTACTATTAGTTATTTCTTAAATGTTTGGTAGAGTTCACTAATATTCTGGACCTGAAGTTTGGAGATACCCCCGCCCGCCTTTAGGAAGTTTTCTAACTACACTTTTGATTTATTTAATAGATATAGTATTCTTCAGGTATCTCTGTCTTCTTGAGTGAGCTCTGATAATTTGTGCCTTTCAGGAATTTGTCTATTTCATGTAATTTGTACTTATTGGCAACTCTTAGTTTTGTTAATCTTTTCTATTGTTTTCCTATTGTCTATTTTATTTATTTGTATTCTAATCTTTATTATTTCCTTCCTTCTACTAAGTTTGGGCTTAGTTCTTCTTTTTCTAGTTCCTTGAGGTGTGATGTTAGGTTGTCTGTTTGAGATCTCTTTTTTTTCTTGAGGTATGCATTTATTGCTAAAAACTTCCCCCCAGAGGGAAGTTTGTTGCATCCTATAATTTTGGAATGTTGTTTCCATTTTCGTTTGTCTCAAGATATTTTTTAAATTTCCTTTATGATTTCTTCTTTGATCCATTGGTTGTTAAGGAGAGCGTTGTTTAATTTCCATGTTTTTGTGAATTTTCCAGCTTTCCTCTTATTATAGTTTCTAGTTTCATACCATTGTTGTTGGAAAAAAATACTAAATATAATTTCTATCTTTTGAGTTTGTTTTGTGAGTTTGTTTTGTGACTTTTGAGACTTGTTTTGTGATCTAACATACAATCTATCCTACAAAATATTTCATGTGCCCTTGAGAAAAACATGTACTCAGCTGTTGTTGGATGGTCAACAGTGTTGTTCAAATGTGCTATTTCCTTATTGAGTCTCTGTCTGGATGGTCTATCCATTGTTGAGAGTGGAGAATTAAAGTCCTCAATGATTATTATATTGCCATTTATTTCTCCTTTTAGTTCTGTTAGTATTTGCTTTATGTATTTAGGTGCTCCAATGTCAAATGCATAAATGTTTGCAATTGTTGTATCTTCTTAATGAATATACCTCTTTAACATTGTTTAATAACCATCTTTGTCTCTTTGATCATTTTTAACTTAAAGACTATTTTGTCTGATATAAGTACTATAGTTACCCTGCTCTCTTTTGGCTAATATTTGCTTAAAATAGTTTTTTTCATCCCTTCACTCTCAGTCTACATGTGTCCTTAAAGCTAAAGTGAGTCTCTTGTAAGCAGCATATAGATGGGTTTTGTTTTTTTCTCCATTCAGCCATTTTATGTCTTTTGATTGGAGAATTTAATCCATTTAATCCAAGTAATTATTGACAAGTAAGGACTTACTATTGCCATTTTGTTAATTGTTTTCTGATTGTTTTGTAGACTCTCTGTTTCTTGCTTCCTCTCTTATTCCCTTCCTTTGTGATCTGATGACTTTTTGTGGTGGCATGCTTTGACTCCTTTACTTTTGTGTACTTTTTTTTTTTTTGCGGTACGCGGGCCTCCCTTTGTGGTTACAATAAGGTTTACATAAAATATCGTATATTTATAACATCTTATTTTAAGCTGATAACAACTGGCCCCTGGTAACTACTATTCTACTTTCTGTCTCAATAAATTTGACTACTCTGGGTATCTCAAATAAGTGGAATTATACAGTATTTGTCCTTTTGTGTCTGGTTTATCTCAACAGCATGTCTTCAAGGTTTATCCATGTTGTTGCATGTGTCAGAATTTAATTCCTTTTAAAGGCTGAATAATATTCTATTGCACGTGTATATTGTATTTTGTTTATCCTTTCATCTGTCCATGAAAGACATTTGGGTTGTTTCTACCTTTTAGCTATTGTGAATGATGCTACTACACACATTGGTGTAAAAATATCTGTTCACGTCCCCGCTTTCAATTATTTTGTGTATATACCTAGAAGTGGAATTGCTGGATCATATGGTAATTCTATATTTTTTTCTGAAAAATCAAACATACTATTTTCCACAGAAGATGCACCATTTTACATTCCCACAAGCAATGCACAAAGTTTCTAATTCCTCCACATTCTAGCCAACACTTGTTGGTTTTGGGTTGTTCGTTTGTTTGTTTATTATAATAGCCATCCTAATCGGTGTGAAGTGGTGTCTCACTTTGGTTTTGATTTGCATTTCCCTAATGATTAGTGATGTTGAGCATGTTTTCACATGCTAATTGGTCATTTATATTTCTTCTTTGGAGAAATGTCTATTCAAGTCCTTTGCCTATTTTTGAATTGAGTTGTTTACTTTTTTTGTTGTCGAGAGGAAATTTATTTTTTACAAGATATACAGATAAATATTGACAGGATATAATATTTCCTGATACAATATTGCCCCAAAAAGTTTTTGAAATAATTAGCAGTATATATGTATCACAAAGAACTTTTTATCTAGAATATATAAAGAATTCCTACGACTCAAAAAGAAGACAAACAGCCCAATTTGAAAAGGGTAATACATTTAAACAGACACTTCACAAAAGAATATATACAAATGGTCTATATGCACATGAAAAGATGCTCAACGTCACTAGTCATCAGGGAAATGCAAATTAAAATCACAAGATACCATTACACACCACTAGAATGGCTAATATTAAAAAATCATAATAATACTAAAAGTTAGTGAGGATGTGAAGCAACTAGAACTCATATACACTTTTAACGGGAGTATAAAATGGTGCAACTAATTTGGAAAAACATTTTGGCAGTTCCTTAAAAAGTAGAACATATATTTATCATACATCCCATCAATTTCACACCTAGGTAGTTACCCAAGAGAAATGAAACATATGTCCATACACAGATCTGTGCATAAATGTTCATAGCAGCTTTAATCATAATAGCCAAAAGGTAGAAACAACCGAAATGCACATGCACAAATTGTGGTATAGTCATAAAGTGAAACATATTCAGCAGTAAAGGGAGCAAACTACATGTTGCTAATACAGGCAACATGAATGAATCTCAAAAATATGATGCTGTGTGAAAGAAGTCAGACACAGAAGAGTACATATTATATAATTGAATTTATATCAAATTCTAGAACAGGCAAAACTAATCTATTATGGTATAAAGTCAATCTGCGGTTGCCAAGGACCTTTAAGGGAGGGAATGGACTGCAAAGAGAAACAAAGGAAATTTTGGGGGTGATATGAATATTCTACATCTTGACTAGAGATGGTGGTCCCACAGATGTATATATTTGTCAAAACTCATCTAAATGTATATTTAAATTGGTACATTTCATGATACGTAAATGATACCTCAATAAAGTTTTTTACAATGTAATTTCTCTTAGTAACTAAGAAACTATGACAATAATCTAAGTTTTCAAACCACCATGATATACTGAGGTCTGACCTAAGTATGACAAATTAACACCTTACAGTAAGGAAGGCGTTTTAGTACCTAGCTTCCTTTATTCATAAACTGAAATAATTTCCCACAATACCATTAGCAAAATAATTACATTTGCTCTTTCTCTTTCAGATTTTCTGAATATGCCACTACATTTCAAACAAAAAGACTGAACAATAGAATAATATAAATTTTACATGTTTGGGTTACCAGACATCAAAATTTATCTTATAACATTACTTATAATATTCCCTAAGTAAATGGAATAAAGAATTTCAAAATTACTTCCTTTATATTTCAAATATACCCTGTTATGTTGAATGGGCCTTTAAACATAAAACCAAGCAAATGGGAAGTTCCAAGGATGTCATTCTGTATCTGCTACTGAGTTGATATACAAAATTGCCTACAACATTTCTCATTTCAAAGCTAATGAAATTGTATACATTCTATTTGCAGTTTTGCATGGGTAAAATATATAAGCCCAATGAGGACTTTTTTTAATTATAAAGAACTCATGGAAAAATAATTATTAAAAATAACATTCAGTACTATAGAAGAAAAAGGACAACCCAACAATAAAAATGTGTTCCTGTTTTCTAAAGATTAGCCTCAAGAGATAAGGAAGACACTGTTACCATCTTATGAAATTAAATCTTACCATTGCCTTGGACATATCCTGAGTAGAATGCTGTATCTGATGGTATCAACTTCTAGGGTCTGAGATTTTAACACCAAGAAAATGTTCTTGTTTCCTTGTATTTTCACGACAAAATAACATTCTTGCTAAATGGATTAGATTAAAAGAAGGGGGTGGGGAGAAGTAAGGAGAGGGGAGAAAAACCTTACCCAGAATGTCAGGTTTCAGGAGTGTCCAAGTGACCTGAATCTGTACATTTATCTGCCAAGGTGTGACTTCCACAGTGTCTGCAGAGAGCTGTAAAGTAATTACACAAATTGCACTGAGTCATTTTACTGAGATAAATTCAACCCCTAAATCTAAGGACTGCCAATTTGACCAGAAATCTGTGATTTTTAAGTTTTTTTTATTTTTCTCTTCTTCAAGTTATACTATGTGATCTGTTGACAAACCAACTCTTCTATCCATCCGGAGGAATGTTATCTCTAAGTCTTTTGAATTATCTGGTTTTGAATTATATATAATCAGGAAACTCTGGGCTTGTCTTCCCTCAAAGCTCTTCCACTGCAATAGCATGATTTACTGGAAAGTTATTTACCATATTCCACATCTTCAAAGACCAGATCCCCTTTATTTCTCTACCACAAAGTGCTCCTTAGAAATTTTCATTACAGCAATATGAATTAATGCCAGTTGTTACCCCAGGAGAGATCAAACTGAAACCTCTACAGAAGTCCAATTAACAGGAATCTCACAGGAAGCAATAGATACTGTGATGTGCTCTTCAGTGACTAATGGACTATGCTCTCTGTTAAAAAAGGGAAAAAAAGGTAGCAAAATTGAGCAAGCCCCCAGGGCATAAAACAAACTGCAAAAATAAATACAGGGAGAGTAAATAACAAACTTTAAAATATATAATCAATAAGGGTAGGTGAATATGGCAGCATTTTGAGATAAAACTGCATTTTCAACTATTTTTAAAATGCTTCCCATTTGGTAGAACCCCAAATGGGCTTTGCCAAGCACTTTTTCTTCTTCATTTTTAAGTACGTATGTATTTCAAGGAAAATTTAATCCATATGTTCCTCTCTCATTTACACAATTTATCAAAATGTTGCTTTGAATGAGCCATTTAATGTCTAAGAAAACTGAAGAACACTGCTTTTTTTCCCCTAACAAGTTTCTAGGGTTTTTTTCTTCCTGAATTAGATATGTGTTTGGGGCTACATAGAAAGCTAATTGAAAAATATTCAATTCTGTTTTAAAATTCAGAATCAAACAAAGTCTGATAAAATTCAAAATAGAAAAGCAACATTCCCCTACAGTACTAGATTTTCAAGTTTCTAAAGCCTTTTATTCACATGATTCCTATCAATCAAAGAATGTTAGAATTAAAAGATACCTTAGAAATGTTGTTTTTTCTCTCACTTTAAAAACTAGGAAACTGAGTCCCAGAGAAGTTGAAGAATCTGCCAAAATCACAAAACTAATTAGTGGCAGAGCCAAGACATGTGTCTTCCCATTAGTGACTTCTTTGGTTTTTCTGGTTTTAATTAGGATTTTATTTATAACATATAGAAGTGTCGGCATAATACTAGATTATAAAAAACAGTGAAGTTTATTTCTGCATGAAATGTGCCTGCCTGCTTCCAACAGACCAACCCCTGGGCAACAGCTAGGCGAGAAATCAAAAGTTCAACTGCCAGTATTGCCATAGTAAATTGTATCTATCCTTTACCATCCCCACAAGGGTAAGTGATAGACCTGTTTAAAATAAAGTCCAGGTACACTCTCAACTCTTACCAGTAAGATGCTACAGGAAAACAAGCTGATTATGCTTTAACTCATAAGGATATTTCTTTGTCTCCTTATTCTCCTATTCCTTCCTCCTCCTCCCCCAAGGGGATCAATCATTCTGGACTACACAGAAATCTGGTGATGGGCATACCATGAAGTCTGGAGGGTCTCAGTGGAGACATCAGTCCATGAGATAGGATTAGGGCACTTTTTTTTTTTTTTTACTCATAGAAGTCTCTTTATTGATAGCTCTCTTGGATGTAAACCCACTTCCCATATCATATGACATCCAGGTCAGTTCTACAAGCTTTTTTTTTTTTTTTACCCAGTTTCTTTAGACAAGGGAAAAGCACAGATGAATAAAAAACTGCGATCCCCAGGGAAATAAGAGAAGAGAACAGAAGATCATTGGGTCTTCCAGCTGTCATGTCAGGAGGCAGTCATAAGCTACAGATCACAAATCACAATCAAAGAACTTTGTAAGATTCTGTAACCTTGTAACTTACCAGTGTTCATGTTGTGTTACTCTCTGTTTGTTTTGTAGCAGTCATTCCCAGCAAAACTCTATTTGTTTTAATGTGATGAGAAGGGCCATATAATATCTGTGTGTATTTTGGGAGTAACAAAGAAAAACTGAGAGACCTTTTTTTGAAATTAATTTAATTAATTAGGTTTTGGCTGCGTTGGGTCTTTGTTGATGTGCGCGGGCTTTCTCTAGTTGCCGCAAACGGGGACTACTCTTCATTGAGGTGCTCGGGCTTCTCATTGTGGTGGCTTCTCTTGTTGCGGAGCACAGGCTCTAGGCGCACGGGCTTCAGTAGTTGTGGCTCACAGGCTCTAGAGCACAGGCTCAGTGGTTGTGGCACACGGGCTTAGTTGCTCTGCGGCATGTGGGATCTTCCCAGACCAGGGCTCAAACCCATGTCCCCTGCATTGGCAGGTGGATTCTTAACCACCGTGCCACCAGGCAAGTCCCTGAGAGACCTTTTATGGAGGGAGAAAGTAAAATCATATAGTACAGAACAGCTCAACCACTTACTAATTGTTTAACCTTGGGAACCTTACTTAACCTCTCTTTGTCTCAGTTTCCTGATCTATAAAATGGAAATAACAACAGGATCTACTTCATAAGGATTAGTGAAATAATACATGTAAAGCACTTAGGACAGTGTCTGCATATAACAAGACCTCAATAAAAATAATTGTGGTTGCACTATCATTTTTTTACACTGAACTAGGAAAACAGGCTGAATTCCTAGGACTTGGGACAAACAGAAGAAGAAAACACAGGAAGATTATTTAGGGCTAATAAGGAGCTCTGAGTCTAAGCAATCAAAAAGCTGTTATAGATGACTGAATGGGGATTCTAAACCCAACTATATACTGAAAATGAAAAACAAGGACTCAATTGGTATCACTATAACAAGTGCTCATATCATTGGTACAGGGGACATTTGAAAGATTGTAACCCTACCTTCTTATATATTGACCTTCCAGCTGTCAAAAACAACAGTGTATTCAAAGATCGGACAGCCATTGGAACCCAATGCAAAATACTTACAAGTCTCCCCAGATCTATTGGTTTAAGAAATGGTTACTTTGGCAATGACCTTAGGCATAATAGCTTTGGGGCCTAATTGAGTTCGATTTCTGAGTTGCTTTCTCTTGGTGAAGTTTTTCTTTTTGATTGAATGTAATTTGATTGGTTATATCAGATGGCAAACAGATTGGAAAGCACACTGGCTTGAGAAGTGGGGTGATGTGATTGCAGTCTTGGTTTTGCCTTAAGTGTCATTCTGAAGACAACATTCTTTTTATAGGGAGTTGTTGTCTAGGTAAAAATGGGGTTGGATTTGGTGATCATAAATGTCCCTACCACTCTAATATTTTGTGAACCCATAGTGGTATAATTATAAAATAGTGAGATTGATTTTCCTGGCCATGATCACCCTATCATCAGAACTGATTTATATAGCACCTTTCTTTGAAAGTTCTAGGCATTCTATTCAGAACAACTGAGAAAATAGAGAGGAATGTGGTGAATACAATATGCTTTTGAGTCGGATCTGGGTTCAAATTTGGACTCTTTCACTCTATCAGTGGCTCAATATTGAGCAAATGAATTTCTCTGAGTCTCACTTTGCTCAGTCATGAAATATGGCTCACATTACCTATTTCATAGGGTTGTCAAAAGATTAAATGAGAAAACATAAGTCATATGACTGCCTCCTAATAGGTGTTCAATAGAAGGGAAATATTATTATAGTAGCAGGAAAGGAAATAATGGATACAAGCATCTGAAAGAAGGTCTCGCAGCTAAGGGAGTGTCAGATGGCGTAATAATGCTCCCCAAACCCAAAAGATTGTTGTCATTTTTTATCATGTGCTACAATATTATCAGTGGAGACCCCAGAGGAAGCAATGTGAGAATGTTTGTTGAATGAATTAATGAAGTCGTTCCCCTCAGCCAGGATTCTTGGCCTTTGCTGAATACTTTCACAGTTTGTAAGAGAATTATATCACCACTTGCCCATTGAATTCATAGTACCAGACATTTTGGGCCTAACTGACATAAATATATACTATATAGACGAGTAAGTGAAATGTTTCATATTTAAATGATAACAAATATTATTTGATAAAAAAATATTATTATTTAAGTTAGCTCCTGATTGATAGGTCTGAAATGGCTAAAAAAAATAATTTTTCATAAATGGGAGGGGGTACATGAGAATACGACCGAAGAGGCTAATTCTAGGCTATGCAGAACAATAGTGAACAAATGTCCTCTAATCAAAAGGGCTTTAGAGGGCTTCCCTGGTAGTGCAGTGGTTAAGAATCCACCTGCCAATGCAGGGGACATGGGTTCGAGCCCTGGTCCAGGAAGATCCCACATGCCGCGGAGCAACTAAGCCCATGCGCCACAACTACTGAGCCTGCGCTGTAGAGCCCATGTGCCACAACAACTGAAGCACTCGCGCCTAGAGCCGGTGCTCGGCAACAAGAGAAGCCACCGCCATGAGAAGCCTGCATACTGTAACGAAGAGTAGACCCCGCTCTCCGCAACTAGAGAAAGCCCACGCGCGGCAATGAAGATCCAATGCAGCCAAAAATAAGTAAATTAATTGAAAAAAACACGAAAACTATTTTTTTAAAAAAGGGGGGGCTTTAGAGATGGAACTTCCCCCCTTTGATAGAAGGAAATATTAACGATGCAACCTGGGTAGTATCTTCAGGCTTGGCCAAGGGCTATCGTGAAAGCAAGGATACACTTGGCCTGAAGAAATGGGGTCTGGCTGCTGAGATCTACCTTCAGAGTTAAGAGGCAAGGCAGGACCACTGTAGTCAAGCTTTCGGTTGACAAAGTCAGGAACCAAGAGACCAGGGATTACTCTGTCAGCTCTGAGACTTCCCCATGGTTAATATTTTTGTTGCCCTAGTCAGTTTCTCATGATGATTACCAATAAAATCTCTAAAATAATCTTTAAAAATAATGTGCATTCTGGAGTAGTGATGGGAAATCGCTTTGCATTCTGCACCCAGACTTGAATGTAGGGAAAAACTATCACAAAGGATGGAGGGAAGCAACTGCGGAAGAATATGGGAAGCTGGCTGAGTCCCAGAGGCCTCTGCAAGGACGAAAGGAGAAGATCTGGGCCAGAGCAGGGATTCTGGGAATCCCAGATACAGTGTAGGATCAAGCAAAGAGACCACTGTCTCAGTTTCGAACAATTCAATTTTTTTGTTTTTTTTCTCCAAGCTTATGATCTACTTCAAAATCCGTATTATAGTAGGTAATAATTATTTCTTATAACTTTTTTACAGTGCTTTCTGAAAGAATTTATTTTCTGGGTTTGGGAAATGCTGAAAAGTCCAGCTCACTTAGAAATAAATTCAACCTGATTATGTAACCAAACTTCCTGAATGGCCAATATAGGAATTTATCTCCAAGTCAAGAATGAACAGAGCATTGTCTTACCAAATGTCATCATTTCCCGCCTTTGAGAAGGAACTAGAAAGACTTGTGTCGAACCAATTCAGAGTATTTTAGGTAGGTCTTCAGCTGAAACCTGGGAATCAAAGCAGAAGAGAAGAAAAAGTGGTGTGAGGGAGAAGCTAATTTTCAAAGGTCTCCCTGTGCCCCATGGCCACTCCCTTCTCTTCTAGGACCTTTCCGCCTCTCTTCATTTCAGTTTTGAGTTAGGAATACTGGAACTGATCACTTTTCAGCCTCAATAAGTCCTTGCTAATTATTTTAACATTTCAGGTTCAGGAAACCCAAACCCAGTGTTTGTTAAGTGCTCCTTGCCTTGATTTGTATGCCCTCTTAGATTTCAAGGGAAGTTGGGTCCATGTGTTTCTGATTCGTTTTTACTTAACTCATCAAGACATTGTTTCATGAAGGCCATTTGATGTCCAAAGATTCTGCTGAACCTTTTGTTCGTTAAACCATAAAGCCAGTGAAGTCATATGTGGCATATGACAAAAGAACAGAATTAGGAGACCCAGGAACTAAAGAGTCTACCTTTGTCCCTGCTGTGGTTTCATACAATGATGAATCGCTTTTCTAGATATCTGTGCAATCTGGGTAGAGATAACAGTGTTTTATGCAAGGTTTAGAGAATTTTATAATAAAATAGAATTCTGGAGAGACTTTGTTAAGAGAAAGATATGTTACAAACCAATATCAAAATAGCTCTAGAGTTGAAAGAATAAGGTTTTGCCTGGTTTTGAGGCTGTTATAGTAGTTTTCCTGGCCAAGTACCACAACTCAGAATTAAAATTTCAAATGGTGACTAGACAACACATAATGTTTCCACTGAAAAGCATAACCCTTACATGGATTTATACACTGGGAGAGTACTATATTTCCTACTGGTTTCCTTTTCGAGCTAACAATCACATCCCAAATCTGATTAACAGTTTGCATCAAGATAAGGGGTAGATGTTTGTCATGGAGAGAACTTTCTGGTTTTGACCCCAAGGCAGAGATTCTCCTAATATTTTATTTTGCAGCACGGAATACTGAAGTCCAAATTCCTCTAAATGAAGTGGCAACAAATTTAGCAGGTATCAACAATGAAAAACAATTTTTTTTATTTATTAGTTCTAGATTGCCACTAAGTTCATTATCTTGCAGTCACTTGCTGTTCTCTGGGTTATCACCCTGATAGTTTGTCACACCTCCAGAGGGCATAATAGGATACAAAAATCAGTTCTGACTGGGGTCAACAGCAGAAATCAAGGGAGTTCTAATCAAAATGACGAGGAAGGTGAGAAAACATGTTCAGGCAAGCTAACAGCAACTGCCTCTCTGGCTTTTTGCATTAGGAAGGCATCTAGAAGAGAAGAGAGTGGCCATGACCTTTGAAAATTAGCTTTTTTACACAAACCATTTGTTTCCCAAGCTCACACACTTTGTATTTATTTATTTATTTACTTATTTATTTTTACTTGATCACTTGATCTCCAAGGTATGACCTGGTATCAGGCAAAGGGCCCAGTCAAATATGCATAATCACCACCCAGAACAGACTGAGACACACAGGCAGAGAGTCAGCAGACATGTAGCCCCTTTCCTCAGCATCCCATGAAGAGGGGTGATTGGACTGCGTACAGCCAGATACACCATGGATGTGCTGCAGGAGTGAGACCCAGCCCCTTTTCTGTCCTTTTCCTGTGGTTCTCGTGAAAGCAGCTTGTGATAAAGAGGGGTGGGGCAGGAGGGCAAAACAACCTACATTTTGTTAACAGGGGCTCAGGGGAAGTACATACCAATCCTGGGTATACCAGCTTCCTGGCGCCAATATCCCTTGGAAACTTTATAGCAAGTTGAGACCAGTCACTGACTCTCCTGCTGAGGCGATAGATGGTAACTGATCCCAGCTGACTCCTGCCAGGCAATCTAGAGAGATTCAATGGACAAGCCTTTTTGTCTCTCCACAATTGGCAAGCTGTTGAGATCCATTTAGGAAAGTACCTACTACTTGCCCAGGGAGTGTGATAAGGAAATCAGGAAAGACACAGCGTCTGTATTTAATCCATGGCAAAAACAAAAACAAACAAAAAACAAACTTAAGGGCCAGCCTTCTAAGAGTTCACAGCCTAGCGAATGATGTCTGAAAACAAATGATGACCACACAGCATAGAAAATGATCTTGTAGAGGTATAAGCACCAGTAGCAATGTCACAAGTGAGGTAGTGATCAACTCTGGTGGCAGGAGGAAGGGTTCTTGGGAAACTTCCCAGGAGTATATGCTCATGAAGGCAGCAGTCTATGGGTACAGGTTGAGGGAAGGGCATTCCAGGCAGAGGGAAACACAAGGTAATTATGCAGGAACCCTAATTATAACCAAGCCAAAGAAAGTTTGAAAGAAATAGACACCCCCTTGCTGCCCCATTTTACATATTCTGGAAGAGTCAAATCATAAGAAGCTAAAGTCTAACAAGTGTATAGCAGTCTCCCCAAATTCCACAAACAACTAAGCAGTGCCAGGTCCATTTCAAAAGTGAAAATTCCATTAGAACTCTCTGAAGTCAGAAGCTGCCCTTCAGATGTCTGCTGTCCCCATCTCCCAGCTGGTCAATGTCCTTTTCCAGTTGGTCACTGAGTTGGGGCAATATTAGCTAAACTGCCCTGGCTAGTTGGCTTTTCTGTCTCTTTTGGCCAGGAGTTATTTCTGTCCCACAAAGAGTACCCAACAAACCAAGCACCTTACGTATATTAAAAGGAATGTAGAACTCACTTCTGGACAGGCCAAAGAACACAGCTCCTGTAACAAAACTAAAAGCTCTGAAAATAAGAGATTCCTTCTTTTTAAGATTTATTGTATTTGTTTATAATTGTTCCTGCTTCAGAATCTCAGGGGCTTAACACTGGTGGGGTCACAGTGTCCTCTCCCAGATCCACACCCTCCAATATTCTAGTTCACAGGAAAGGGGACGTACTATCTTCTTTAAAGGCTTACATGGCTTTGCCCTAAAAAATTACATTGTCTGTATCAGGGATGCCAGGGCATGTTAATCACCTGCTAATTGACTTCCATTGTCACTTGGTAGCCCCTTTCCCTCTCTCTCTTTCTCCCCAGGTAGGCAGTGAACAAAGTGACATTCTTGGTAGCTCTGAAAGGCTTCGAGTTCTTTTTTCTTGTCTGCATTGGGTCTTCATTGCTGGGCGCGGGCTTTCTCTAGTTGCGGCGAGCAGGGGCTACTCTTCGTTGCGGTGCGCAGGCTTCTCGTGGTGGCTTCCCTTGTTGTGGAGCACGGACTCTAGGCACACGGGCTTCAGTAGTTGTGGCACACAGGCTTAGTTGCTCCATGGCATGTGGGTACTCCCCAGACCAGGGATTGAACCCATGTCCCCTGCATTGGCAGGCAGATTCTTAATCACTGCACCACCAGGGAAGTCCTTGCTTCAAGTTCTGAACTTCTATATTTGTAACTCTCAAGCTGGCGTGACAGGGCCCTTGCTTTAGCTATTCAGGGATAAATACGAGAAATGGGAATAAAATTTAGAAGCACATAAATTTATTACATGCAAATCTTAGCATGTTTTGAAAAGCATGATGCACTTAAATGGGTGAATCTGGCTGAGATGATAATTTAGCTAGAGGGTATATTTGTTACCCCTATGTAGAGCAAATCCCCCCAAAACTTACTGGTGTAAAATAATAATAACCACTTATTATCTTTCGTGCTTCTGTGACTCAGGAATTTGGGAGTGGCTCAGTTGGGCAGCTTTGGGTTTCATAAGGTTACAGGTAAATGGTGTCGGGGACTGGGGTGATTTTGAAGGCTTTTTCATTCATATGCCTGGTACCCCAGCTGGGAAGACTCAAACAGCTGGTGGCTACAGCAAATGGGGCTCCTCCAAGTGGTCTTTCTTCCTGTTCTCTGCATCATGGCAGCTTTAGGGTATCTGGACTTCTAACATGGCAGCTCAGGCCCCCAAAGGCGCATCTTCCAAGATACAGAGTCAGGCAGAAACTGTATCATTTCTCCCAACCTAGCCACAGAAGTATCACAGGATTGCTTCCTCCTCATCCTATTTGGTAGACTAGAGTCATTAATTAATGACTTGGCTGGCCCAAGTTTAAGAAAAAGGCAATTAGTCTCCACCTTATTTATTTATTTATTTTTTGCGGTATGCGGGCCTCTCACCATTGTGGCCTCTCCCGTTGCGGAGCACAGGCTCCGGACGCACAGGCTTAGCGGCCGTGGCTCACGGGCCCAGCCGCTCCGCGGCATGTGGGATCTTCCCGGACCGGGACACGAACCCGTGTCCCCTGCATCGGCAGGCAGACTCTCAACCACTGCGCCACCAGGGAAGCCCAGTCTCCACCTTTTTACTGCAGAAGTGTCCAAGAATTTGCAGATCTGTTTTAAAACAATCACAAAGGAAGTCAGGGAGAGAGGAGTGTCAACTGAAAATAAAAGATAAATAGCAAGGTATAAAAGCAAATCGTCATAATTTCCATGGACATTTCTTTAAAATTTGTCATGAATCAAATTCAGACCTCTAAAAACTTCTCAATATTATTTTTACCTTTTATCTAGTTTCTAATTTTTTGTTCCAGAATTCTGGTTTTCCTTAACGACATCATTTTTCTTTTTAATTTATTTGATCAAATTTTGTTTTGCATCTACTATATGCTAAGCATGTGTTAAACAATACAGAAGGAAATTGATATAGTCTATGCTTTCAAGGAGTTCACAGTCAAAATTACAATTCCCTGTGACGACTGCACCATTAGAAGCATAAACAAGGCATAGAGATGAAATAGATATGGGAAAGAAAAATAACTTGATAAAATCATACTATGTATTTTCATTCTACTTCACAGACTTGCAAAATGAGACTTTCAATTGCACCTGTTTTTAATGTGCCATAAGCTATATTGTTAATACTAATTTGGAAAGTATTCCCTAAAGTAGTTCTTTAGTGTTAAAGTCAGACAAAGATTTCCTGGGGTTAAAACACAAAGACCTAAGCATAGGATCCTCATCTAGGGATAAATTACTGAGATGTCATTTGGTCCACTCCCCATGCATCCAAGTAAATCTCAGCCCAACCCAAATCTATGGCAACCTATCCTACTGTTGTCAAGATAGTGCTAATAGGAACAGCTCTTACGTTGCATATGGTGAAAGATATTACTACACTGCAGGAGGTCCTGATGCACCATCAGGTATGAAAACTCTAAGAGGAAGCATGCGCAGAAAGAGGAAAGGCAGAGGACAGCACTTTGGGAAGGCTGCATCCAGAGGCTGGAAGAAGGAAGAAAGTCCCTGAAGAGACAAAGAACTGGTGATGAAAGAGTCACGAAAGTAGAGAGGAAAACAGAATCAGCACAGTACAATGTCCTGACAGCCCCAAAGGGGAGACTTTTCATATGCACAGGGGAGACACCCCTATGAATGAACTACAAAGGTCAAAGGGCATGAAGGCTGGGATTGGTGCTGCCCAAGTCACAGGGCAGTACCAGGAGGTCACTGGTGATCTTCACATCCCAGATTCAGTCAAGTGGTGGACAAGCAGCTCACATCGCCCGGATTACCCAGCACATGGTCACTGGCCAAGTGGCCCTATGGCGCTACCGGGATTGCATGCAAATCCTCAGTGCAGTTCAACAACTATGCATTTGAACAGCTACTGTGTCTCTGGCAACTTTAAATGGCTCCACACTCCCCGCCAAAGAGCTTTAACTCCTTAGCCCAGTATTCATTGCTTCAAATATTATTTAACCTGGTTCATCAACTACTAGGTTCTCATATACACACTTTAATTATGCTAGAAAAATCTCATGCCTAAATTTTTATTTCTTTCTTGCCACTAGGCAAGAAGTCCAAAGAGGCTAATTCAAAGATTCACTCTTGGTAAGGATGTGTTTTAGGAACAGAGACTGTTTAGATAAAAATTTTATGCAGAATTCAGGAAAAAAATCATCTGGTTAAAGAACATCAGATGAGAGGGCGAGGAGCTGATTGCCCGGAAGAGGTCTTAATTGCCTTAAAGTTTATCAGAAAATTGCTTAAGCACTTGTCAGGAATGCTCATTTCTTCAGAAGAAAGTTGGTTGTGAACTGTCTCACATACAAAAACCATTTTATTTCAGACCGAGTTTGGGACAATTTTCCCTCCCATCTATTTACCCTTCCTTATGAACATTTCACGCTTTCTCAACACATGCCTGTGTGATCACGTCTTGTTGCTTCAGGCCAAGATCAAATGTTCTCTCCTTCTAATAATGTTTTCCTTCCATCCTAAACTCCAGTTCTTTTATTGTACCTCTCTTACTTTTTATTGTTGCTTGTATTCATATCTCCTACTTTAACTATAAGAAATTGTATCTTTTCCTCTGCATATACTCATTAATATTCAAGGAAGGTGGAATAATAAGTGTATATAACTAAATTCATAGTGTATGCAATCTTCAATATACTGTACTTCAAGGAAATATTTCACGGTCTCAATTAACTATTGCACTAGATTAGATTCAGCGGTGGATAATTGAAAACCCCAAACAACAGTGCTTTAAACAAGATACAAGTCAATTTCTCCCTCTATAATGGCAATCTGGAGGTCAGCAGTCCAGAGCTGGCATAGTGAGTCCATGATCCTTCTATCTTTTGCTCTATCCTCATCTGTGTGTGGCTTCTTCCTCATGGTTCAAGATGGATGCTTGACTTTAGCCACCACGTCCTTATTGCTGCCAGCAGGAAGGGGAGAATGGCATGCCTCTTCTCTGTAAGGACACATCTCAGAAGTTGCACACAAAATTGTCAGAATGGTTAATGCACTGACAAGCCAAAGCACATCTGATTACATCCCATGAGTTATGACTTAGTTACATGTGGCACTGGTAGTAAGGGAAACAGGAACGTACACAATTTAAAAGCCATAGGTTCCACTACTAAGAAAGAAGAAAGAACAAATATTGAGGGAGATCTAGAAGTCTCTCCTTCTATAGCCTATTCTAATGTTTACCAAACCTCACTGGTCCGATTTTAATTTATTTTTCCATACTCTAGCATATTTATTTCTCTTGTGTTCTCAGTAAATACTAAGGGACTCCATTTTTTAATAATAGTAACCTTAAATTTGCCTTTTATTTATTTTATTTTATTATTATTTTTTTGGCTGCACCACGTAGTGTGCGTGATCTTAGTTCCCCCACCAGGCATCAAACCCATGGCCCCTGCAGTGGAAGCACAAAGTCTTAACCACTGGAATGCCACGGAATTCCTGAGACTCCATTTTTTAATGTAGAAAAATATAAGTTCCAAGCTCTGGGAGAATAGGTATTACATTATATAAATGTGTATTATATGTGTATGTATATATATACATATAATAAAAAAGTTGGGGACCACTTTTATGTAAAACACCATGTTTCCCAACTTTTTTGATCATGCACTGCAATCAAAAAATTTTAGGGACTTCCCTGGTGGTGCGGTGGTTAAGAATCCACCTGCCAATGCAGCGGACACGGGTTCAAGCCCTGGTCCGGGAAGATCCCACATGCCGTGGAGCAACTAAGCCCGTGAGCCACAACTGCTGAGCCCACATGCCACAACTACTAAAGCCCTCGTGCCTAGAGCCCGTGCCCTGCAACAAGAGAAGCCACTGCAATGAGAAGCCTGCACACCACAGGAAGAGTAGCCCCTGCTCGCCACAACTAGAGAAAGCCTGTGCGAAGCAACAAAGACCCAACACAGCCAAAAATAAATAAACAAATAAATAAAAATTAAGAAAAAAAATTTTTAACCCCTGTGACATATTTACATGTACCTATTAATATATTTTTATAAATGTATTACTATATTGTATATATTATAAAAATCCATAAAAATAAAAATTGAAGAGATTAAAACATGAATATAAATTAAAGTTCTAATATTTTCTTCCTTCACTGCAATGGACTTTCTGAGGCAAACACTCATCTAACAGATGTTAAATGTCTTAACTTATGCTCTTTCGCTATCACACACATCATCATTTCAATTGAGAATTCAACCAAAACCTAACAGAGAAGGCTGGGACAAAATGCTAACAATATAAGTTGTTATATTGTTATGTCCCACATGGAAAAGAAATAACAATTGTTGAAACTCCCACATTTTGGGTCTGACAAACAAATTAAGCGTCTCGACA